CTACGTTTTGTAGAATTCCGAGGTTCAGTCTTCCAGCTGTCTCCTTGGCTGTGTTCATTCTGCTATTCAGTCCACTTACTGACCTTTTATAATAATTAAGCTTATTTCCAAGAATTCTAAATGAGTATCTTAACTTCACTTTATATGTCTTAAGGTATTTTATCTAGTCTATTAACTCTGTTGAGGTTGATTTCTTTCTTTCATGTGGTTATTTCCTTCAGACATTTGCTAATCTATGTCATACACTTATCTCTGTCTTTGAGTTTCCCGTTAGACTGTCTATGAATGCTGTTTTGCAGTTACCCCTGCCTGTGTTAGCAATTTAGGAGTGGAAGGTTCTGTATGTGCTGCTGGCAAGGAAGCTAGCAGCTTGTACCCCTTGAGTGGGAATTTGTCCTCCTCTGTGACTGTAGCAGTCACCTGGGGACATGGTGATGACTCAAGTGGATCTGCTTACAGCCAGGGGACAAAGACCTCTGCCACTCAATTGCTTGGTCCAGGGCAGGAAAACTCACACCTGCCAGGTGACTCCTACTTAAGAACTTGAACCTGGCACCACTGATGATTGCCTGCCCCATACTCCTTCTGCCCCCTGAATTTTCCACCTCAAAGCTCAAAGCACACTGGAACCTAAAACTTTATCTCAGCCCTCAAAGGGCATGCTTGCAAAATTAAAAAAATGGAAGTAAATGCCCTCTTATGTTCTTATTTCTACTTGGAAGAATATAAAGGGTAGTGGTTAGAAATCTACTGTATATTATCCAACCAGACTGCCAGGTTCAAACTCTAGTCCAATCATCTGTGACCTGGGTGATCTTGTGCCTCAGTTTCCTTATCTGTTAACTATGGGTACTAATGATAACCCACCTCTGAGGAAGATTGAGAGGGTTAAAGGGGCTAACACATATAAAGGTTTTTGATCAATACCAGTATGTGTAAGTACTCAACAAATTTCAAGAACTATTACTGTTCCAGTTCAGGGATTTCATGACTGTAGTCTTATTCTGGATATTGAAACTCATCCCATGCCTAGACCAAACATTTAAAAAAAAAAAAAAATAGTGCCAAAGGGAAGAGTCACAACTGCCAACAATTTGGGGACATAATTAGCACTTAAAATTAAGAATTTCTCTTCTTACTTTGGCTGTCAGTTGAAATCATATTTTTCTGGATGTATTTCTTTACCTTTGGAGACTTTGACTGCATTGGATTTTGCTCAAAGCAATATGAATTCAATTTCAATCCCTCCGATATTTATAGCATGGTGCCAGGTGCTGGGGATTAAACACACCATGCTCACCTGTGCAGAAATACAGCTAGGAAGGATTTTCTGTTGCATTTACAACTTGACTGAACAGGAAATTCTTTAATCCTATATTTTTCCCTCAAACATGTAGACTAGGTTTTAAACCTAGAAATTTAACACAACATGAATGTTTGAGGAACCTCTGATTATTTATCCTTTATAAGTGAACGTGTTCTTTTTTGCCCAAATGTTAACAGAATTATTTTCTCAGCCTTTTATTTTTACAGTTTCTTAGCAAGTCTGTTTTTTGCTTACTTTTCTTGGAAATCAATCCATGTAATCAGGTGACTATTCAAGGTAAGAGAGTTTTCTTTAATTGTGTCTTGATTATTAATTTCATGCCAATTAATATGCTTGCTTTCTCAGAAACACCTGACTCTTAGGTTTATTTTCTGTTCTCTGCAGCTATGAATTTCCCTTTTATTATTTCCTATATATTCTAAAACAAACACTGAAATACACCCTATTCATCACTAATTAAATTTTCCAGTACATCAGTTTTGCTTCTTTACTGCCTCTAAATTCTATTTAAATTCTGCTACTGTATTTTTAGTTCCCTGGCAGTCTTTTTATATTTCATCCAGTTTTTTCACACCTTGTCACAATTTATCTACCGTTTATCTTCATAGATTTCTTCTCCAATTCCACAAATGTCCTGCCTTCTTCAAACCTGTCAATCATCCCAAAAAGTTTTCTAAAGTTCTCTTCAAGTTCTTGCCACAAATCATTTTCTGAAGCTTCAGGTCTTTTTTTTTTTTTTTTTTTTTTTTTTTTGTCTATAGCATGATGTATTCATTCTTTACTGGGCACAAATTTTTTTAAAGCTCTATATGTTCTCCTCATTTACATAACCTCGGATCTGGGATGATCTATTCAAAACCTATATGTGTCAACAAAAGGTATGTGGGTTTCCACCAGATCCCCTGTTGTGCATTTGGTTGCTTCTCAAGTCCTTTCACCCAACCGTGGCTAAAACATTATTTGATGCATATGATGGATGACATTATTTAGAAGGGAAACAGTGTATGAAAATATGAGAATTTTTAAATTAAATGTTAAGCATATAGAATACATTGGTAGGAGGTGTGTCTCTTAAATAAAATCTTGTGTTTTATATGTTGAGTTAAAAAAAAAGGAATAATACAGTAGATTTGGGAAAACAAGAACACAACACGAGTAATGTGAATGAAGAACACGTTTGATGTTGGCATTCAACTACGGAGCAAGGAAACCCAATGAGACACCGCACAGTTTCCTCACCCATCATCCCAATCATGGGGCCTCCACCTAAGGTTAATGATACTGTAATTAAAAAAAAAAAAAGGCCACACATCCAAATGCAAAAGATAAACAACAATCAGGGATGAAGCAACATATGTTCTGGCTTGCTCCAGCTCAAGAAGAAACTGGGGAGGAGTCTGAGGGGGAAAGATGCATGAGATAATGTATGAAATCATAAGGAGGGCTGAAGTCGAAATAAAATAGAATGTACAAATCCTGTGACCTGGAGAGCACTTGAGAGCCTATTGAGTATGACATGTTAGTGGTTCTCTTCCCAGAATGCTTGTACTCAGAGTAAATGAATCAGTTGTTTTGGAATCTACATTGCCTCATTTGTCTTACCTGTCAACCTTGCTGGGTGGAGGGAATCATGAATTAGAAATGAAGGAGCTCACTTCCCAGATTTGAATGCTCTGGCTGGTTTTCTAGCACTTATAGAACATGCATGGACTTGCATGTTCTCTGTGCCTCTGGCTGCCATATTAAAAGGTCAGTCTCACTGGTAAGGAATGAAGAGTAAAGAGCTCCTAAATTTGAGCATAATTCCCAGTTTCTCATAGGCTTCCATCTACTGTATTCCATAGTACTAAGTTAGAATCCGGTCTTCCCTGTATGGTCAGACTCTCTGACACTTCAAAGAGGGGGACAAATGAAGTATATGAACCCAACAACATTGCCACCAGCATTCTTTCTGTCCTTGTCCCACCAAAAATACTCTCCTTGTGAAGTCTAAACTGCCCAAGGTAGAAAATGCCAATACCTTCTCTTCACTTTCCTGTGCGTTGTATCGGGGGAGTATCAATCAGTCTTCAAATGGCAGCAAAAAGAAAAAAACTGACAAGAAAGACAGAGGCTAAGAGACCACAGCAAGGACAAAGGAGAGAGATGGCTGTCTGGAATTTAAGCTGGCAAGGCTCTTATGTTTCTGAACCCCAGTGAAGCCAGTAATGGGAGGGAACAAAGCTGACTGACACAGGGGTGGCACTATACAGGGAACCACTTGTTGAGGTTTTCCTTCCAGCTCTTAACTTGTAGTCAGTAGAAACGTCTTCCAAGTTTGATGATCCACTGGATATCACTCCTAGATTTTAGAATCATTGCAAGCTTTCATCTTTTGTGTATGCCTTCATATATAATTATGGTAGAAAGTTAAGAAAGATTTTCTGGCACAAGATATATCTTTCCAACATAATTGAGATGAATGGTTAGTTTTATAGAGTATGTATTTCTATATTTGGGGATGAAAAAAATTAAAGCTAGGTTTAGGTCACTAAAAAAGTCAGTTGGCACATAAAATAATGTACACATTTTAACGGACAAAAGTGTTTTATTTACTAAGAAGAAACATTTTAATCAACTGAAGATTAGTAAGTTTACTGGTTCACAGAATCTCACTCTCATTCTCATTTTTGTAAGGAGATACACTTTCCCTTTGTGATTAAAATTCTGAGAGAGCCCAATACAATGAGAAGATGTGTTTATCAAGGAAAAGAATAAGAACATAGCAATGCCGGACAATGCCAAACCTTCATAAAGTTATTGAGTCATAGTTATTGAGTTCAGTATCCAAGAGCAATGACAGGTCAGGCATGGAATCTTCAAAATGTTAGCCCCAAAAAGAACCACAGAAGTGACTACATATTTTATTATCTGACATAAATTTGGCCCATGGGACATGCCTTCTGTGGAAAGGACTTGGAAGAGCCACCTCAAGCTGCCTCACATTATCAATGAGAAATTTTTTATACCACAAACAACCTTTGACAATGAGAAGCCTGTATGGGGAACATGGAACTTGTCCTTCACAGCACAAAGAAATCATTAATATAGAGGCAAACGGGGGGACTGGGGCCAGCATGACTTAACCAGCTGAACTTAACCTACCTTCTCTTACAAAAACCGCCACAGCCACTCTTAACCAACACAGTGGCAACTGGGAGGAGGACGCTCATAGGGCAGGGCAGGGCAGGGAAACAGGGCCACGGCTAAGACCAGAAATTCACCTTGACAGAATGATTCTCCACATCCTTGAGTTAGGCATTGGTAATATAGTCATTCCAGAGTGTTCAGCTAAGGCAGAGATCAAGAATTCAGACAGACATATCAGAGAACGAAGGTCCCAGTTCTAGAGTCTTAAACACTTAAGTATCTGGCTTTCAGTAGACTAGAGCTTGATATGAAGCCAACGGCCTTCCTGACAAAGATTTCCACATGCATCATGCCCAGACCCAGGCCAGCTCTCAGGACGTGACCCGGCATAAGGCCTCCAGGAGGAGATAGGTCCATGTGGCAGACTCCTGACAGAGGGGGTTAGGGAGCCAGCAGTCTACGGGGGGCAGCGCTCCCCTCCCCCACCTAACTTGTTGGGTATTTAAGGGTAACTACAGAGGTGAATTTTCTGAGGAAGGGGTAAAAAAGACGCAGAGGATCGTGCTTCATGATGATGGCTTAGGAGACTCAATAAGGAAAGCTGAGACTAATTTTTAAATCCACTGCTGCTCCCCTAGGTCAATGTCAGATTCGCAAAACATGCCCTGACCTCCGCAGAACGAGTGCTGGTCAGGGCAGGCTTCCGTCCTTGAGCTCTCACTTAAATCCACCCCTAGTGGGTGGATTTTCCCTCAGGTGAGAAGCATCTTACAGGGCATCCTCCATGCAATAGAAGAAGATGGGAGAGAAAGAGGCAGGGCGTCTTGGCCAGCAGTGACCCCTGGTTTTAACTACCATAGAAGTGGAGCTGAGTTTCCAAAACACATTCCATTTAAACATTTCCTCCTGTTGCCCATGTTAAAGTGGTTTCTGAATTTATCCTCCCCTAGAAGTGGTCTAATGACTTGAACTTCCAGGATTCCTTTATATGGAGGTAGGGAACTTAAAGTCAGTACATTACACATTCCATTACACTGACCTTCAAGGTCACAGAGGGTGAATTATATGCTTGAAAGCTTAGTGTGGTAAAAGGTTAGGGAGGGAGCCAGAGACTTTGATACTAATGGACGTAGATGAAAGTCAGCTACAGGGTGAGAGAAGGATCAGGACAAGCTCAGGCCAGTGGCAGGAGGAAGGGGGCATGGAGCTGTGACAGAATTCGGTCAGCTTTAGATATCAGCAAGAACACAAATTCCCATGTTATGCCAGCAGGAGACCATTCTGCCACTTTATTCCAGCTCCCGGGTACTATACAGTGTGCTCCTTTCAGGGAGAGCAGACCCTGCCATAGAATAGAATAGTTTGGGTTTTGTTGTGTCTGATGAAAAAGAGAAAAGGGTGATCGGCAGTAAACGTCACCCAGGAAGGTAGGGACATTACTGTGCCAACGGCCCCACTGGCAGCAACTGCCTGGGTGCCATTTTCATTCACCTCCACAAAGGTTTTATGGAAAACTTTTGAAAGGTAAAAATTGGGACTTGGAGAGATTCCAGTAAGATCAGCCTTCCCTTCCTCAAAGATATCCGTGATGCCCATGTCCTGTAGAATAGAATTGAGATCATAGCTGTCTTCCAGGGTGAACTGCGGGAAGGAGACATCTACTGTTTCTTCTGACATATTCTCTGAGCTGCTCCAGGTCACTATTTTTTCATGAGTGATGTTCCTTTCAAGCTACAAAAGGAAGGAAATAATATTTAAGGTCATATTATGAACCAGCAAAGGATGCCCCAATTACTTCAAAAGGCTTGAGTATATTTCAACAGCCAGTAACAACCTTCAAGGTCCTTCCCTAAGCCTCAACCTACTCTGATCTCATTTAAATCTCTCCAAGCAATTCTCTTGAGTCTTTAGAAGTCACAGGACAATCTGAGTTCTGGTATCCTCTGGTATCTGACAGACTGGTGTCTGCGTGTCAAAGCCCAGCAAAGCTCCGTTGACCAAGTTGAGTGAGCTTGGCCACGCCTTAATATTCTGAGGTTCAATTCCCTCATCTATAAAATGGAGATAATACCATTAGGCTCTTGAGGGATTAAACAAAATGATGTATGTAGAGTAATTAACATAGTGCCGGCACATGATACATTTTGAATCGTAGCTATTGTTGTGATCGCTATCCGGGTATTTCTCTCTCCCTCTGTCTCCATCTCTTCACTGCACAGAACAGCACAGCGCCGAGGCTCCCCAGCCTTCACTGATCCCCAGCTCACAACCACTTTATCCCAGCACCAGATCTCCACCCTGTCAAGGCACTTGCACCCAAAAACAGAGTTCAGTTAACAGCTCCGTTCCATGAGCCATAGCAGAAGAGTCCAAGCAAGAGGCCAGAAGTCAGGCTATTGAGCATTTGCAGCAAGTCTCACATCACTCCATGTCCAGATCCCTCGGTCTGGAGAACCACCGCAGAGATCTGTGAGATGGGAGAGGAAAGCCCTATCCAACGCTTTTGGCATTCGTCCTTTTCTAAACCAATGAGGACGAACTCTCTCATTGAATTCAGATTCTTACATATTCTCTGATATCTCTGATAACTGAGGTGCCATCCTTCCTCAGGCAGGTAGATGGTTAATAGGGCTGCTCTCCAAAGACTGACAGTGAAGTATTTTGTAGAGACAGTGAAGTGAAGACTTACCTCTTCCAGGCCCTTCACATTATCTGCAGAGCAGGAAGGCAGCAGGACGAACATGCTGAGTGCCCCCTTGGTATACCTCATTTCAAGGATCTGTGCCTTCAACTCCTCTATGAAGCCGATTCGAAACAGGCCCTTTTGGTTCATCATCTTCACAGTCCTCTTTTCATTCTGCAGTGGACAAGATAGAAAGTCATGGGACAGTCACGGGAAGCTCGCGCACCCCCATGGCTTTCATCACTCCTGAAAACGGGGCTCCACTAAGATAAGAAGCATCTTCACCAGAAGCTCTGAGCCACACCAGTGACCCAACCCATGAGTCTTCTGCCCACTGATCAGCCAGCCCGTCCTTACCAACACCTTATTTTCCCTTGGTTTTCATAGGTTCTTCAGCTCCCAAGACAACTCGTTGGTAAACTATCTATTCAGGCTCTCCCTGCAGCCTAGCCAAGGGATATATCCCCACCAGCTTCGTACCTTTAGTGTCTGCACCACCCAGTCTGTTGGCCTCACCTGATCTCCTGACCCCTTGCCTTTGCTGGCCTGGAGCTTTGGTTAAATGATAATTATCTACATATTGAATCACAGTACTTCTTCCATAGGTTTCCATCAGATCAAAGCCACCACCCCAGACACCTCATGTTTATGAAAGGTCATCAATCGACAGATGAGATGCACAGTGCTTGTGAGAGGAACACAGCTGACAGGTGGTGGGCTGGGATCCCAACCTTCCCTTTTCTCCATTCTACAGTTCGGTGGCTTAGAACATGAGTTTTTGAGATAAATACTCACAGATGTGAATGCTAATGCATGAATTTAGCCATGTAACCTAACCTTTGCATTCTTTCCCCTCAACTCCTAAATGGGAATAATAACATGCATTTCCGTAATGATATTTTAGGGAACAAGTGAAATAATGAATGGAAAATGCTCAGGGTAGTGCCTGGCACCAAGGTGGTCAACAAACTTCTGACACTGATTTCTCTAATAACAAAATATTCTTATTATATTGTATGCTGTAACCCAGAGACCTAAGTTTTAGAGTCGAGTACACATACTTGAAATCATACTTCTTAGTGGAAATTATGAGAGCAATATCTAGAAAACCACGTGCTATAATATCATACCTCATTTAGAGAGAAAGGGGCATCAACTGTGTTTTTAGGGTCAAAATATTTTTCCCATTTGGCCTTGAAGTAAACAGCATTCACCAACACCAGCACCGTCGCACTGTCAATTGCATCCTTGTTGAAGAGTTCCTTGATCTTACCTTAAAAAATGTTTCAGAGAATATCCTGAATGTGAATTGTACCAGAAGTATTCAGGTAGACAGATTTTCCTGAAGGCTGCTTCCCATCCCCAAGGCTAGGGCATGTCTGATTCAAGAACTAACCTAAGAAAATGCCACCACTCACAGTACAGTCCTGGATGTGGTGGAGGTGATGGGGTGTATCGTGGGGGAGACACACTGTCTCTCAACCCCAAGAAGGACCCATTCTAAAGCCCTGAAACTGAGGGAATTTCCTTCTATTCCCAGTCATTGTGGTTGGAAATTGCCATGAGACATCCCATGCCATGATTTACTTTTCTTTTTTTTTAATTAAGTTCGATTAGCCAACATATAGTACATCATTAGTTTTTGATGTGGTGTTCAATGATTCATTAGTTCTGAATAATACCCAGTGCTCATCACATCCTATGCCCTCTTTAAAACCCATCACTAGGTTACCCTCCTCACCTCCATGATTTACCTTTCAAAGTAGACCCTGCCACATGATTATATTATAACCTCCTTGAGAAACAGGACTATTGGGTAAACTTCCTATCTCAAGTGCTCATCACAGCAAACGGTATATGCTTACATATGAACAAAAATGCATATAAATATTCTAGGCCAGGTCAGTAGGGGCTTTCACATGCCCCCTCTCATGCCATCGCATGTCAATTATGAGAAGTAGGTATTGTTTTCCCTTCTTAGAGAGGAATACACCACAGCTAGTGAGAGGTAAGGCCACACAGCCAAAAATCAGCAAGGCTGGCTGAGATCAGTCCTGGGGCCTTCCCGCTCTTGGTCCAGCTCTGAGGCTCCTTGCACCGTAACACAGCCCTGAGCCAGACTGGAAAATCCCACGCGGTGAGGCAATCATCCATTTGCGGTACGCATTCTTTTCCATGCAAAATACCAAACCACTGGTTATCTGAATACATGCCTAGTCCTTAAAGATGAGTAGAGCTTTCTACAGCAAGACTTCTACTTAAACTCCATAATAAAAGACTATTTGACATCACCTACACTTAAAATACTGCCGGAGAGTAAACTAGTGCCTTAGTATACATCTTTTTAGTGAACATGCTTTCTTCTTGGCAACTGAGTGGAACCTTGAAGAAATGGGCATTTTTGCAGCATATGGACCAAGTTAGGAGAAATAATTTTGGAATTTGGGTGCTTCTCCCAGGACAAGGCCAGACAGGGGAGTTCCATATTAAAAAATTATTCCATTTTATGTTGAATTCTAAATTTCACTACTCATCACTATCTCTAAACCCTTCATCCAGAAAACACCTATGTACCTAGTGAAACGTTGATAAAAATTGGATTTAATTATTTCCATTTCCTTCTGAATAACTAGATTCTCTTTGCAACGTTTCCACTGACCCTTTTTTAAAAAATAGAAACAGCTGGGATACGTGGGTGGCTCAGTTAAGCGTCTGCACTCAGCCCACATCGTGATCCCGGGGCCCTGGGATTGAGTCCTGCATTTGACTCCTTGTTCAGAAAGGAGCCCGCTTCTCCCTCTGCCTGCCACTCCCCTGCTTGTGCTCTCTCTCTCTCTGGCAAATAAATAAATGAAATCTTAAAAAACTTGAAAATAGTTAGCATCCCACTGGCATGTGCTTGGCTGAACGGATTTCCCCTTTTATGAGGGAGCAAAGGAGAAACACAGCATCTAAGCGTGTAACTGTTTGCACCTGCAAAACAGGCTTTGAACACGGCCCATGCATGTGAGCACCTGGTCATGACAGACTTGCAATCTGAGACACCAGGCTGGCTTTTCTCCTTTTAAATGGAAAAGAAGACTAGCTACAATGTGTTTGGTCTTTCTTACCTTGGGACTGAGATTCAACCCAAAAGTTAATCTGTTGTCTGGACTTCTCGGAGTCCTTCCGGAAATCAACACTTTCAATGGTCGTATGGTAAAATTGAGTCACACCATCTAAGTATTCCTGTTAAATTGGAATAAAGAGAAATAATACAGTGAAATCAGATAACCGTGCTAATAGGTATGAGGCAGTCAGGAGAAGCCTAATGAGAGAGATGGTCATTTAAATGGGACGCACGTGGTCTCTATCTATCCCCCACTCTTAATTAGCCACAGGCCTTTCATTCATCGTGGTGACAATTCAGGATATAGAATGCTTGTTCACGGGATTTTTGGGTGACTCAGTTGCCTAAACCTTCGATTCTTGGTTTCAGCTCGAGTCCCACGTCCATCTCTGCGCTCAGTGCAAAGTCTAATTGAGATTCTTTCCCCTCCCTCTCCTTCTCCCTCTGTACCTCCCCCTGCACGCACTCTCTCTCTCTTTCTCTCTCTAAAAATAAATAAATAAAAATTTTAAAAAAAGAAAAAAGAATGTCTATTCATGAAGCAGTCTACAGTTACAAGGGCACAAGCTGTTCCTACCAGATATCCTTGAACGTCCCATTTGTGGAGACCCTATAACATCAGTATGAAGTTACTTGAGAGATTTAGCTGCAAAATGCCTCTATTTTTAAGAATTAAAGCCCTACTTTCATCCGGAGCGATGAAAATGTTTTGGAAATTGGGTGATGTTTGCACAACATTGTGAATGTGATCAAGGCTAACAAACTGTTTACTTAAAACTGGTTAAAATAGCCATTTTTACATTATATGTTACCACAATTACAGGGTAATATACCCAAATGACTGGCGTGTACAATTTTAATAGGTGAATTGTATGATATATGAATTTATACCCCCATAAAGCCAGTTCCAAAAAAGAAAAGACAACATCTAAAATCTCATTCTCATTGTTGAGAGAACATACTTCTTTTGGCCAAAGGAGGCTAAGCCCGCCCCCTCACTAGACCAGCCTAACCACCTGCATCACACATTTGCCTATGGTCACACCCCTCATGCCCATTGCTAAGTGTGTGGCTCCTTGCAACGGTGAGAGAGGAACCTGATGGGTCTTGCTGTAGGTACACGCTGCTTAGCCACAGGGAGGAGCCGGACGCCCTTTGGCTCCAAACGCAGTCTCCTTCTGCTATACCGCGGTGCTGCTGACTACAATTCTATTGAGGGGTGGCCTCACAGTGGCATGAAAGGGGATTTTAAAGGTGCTGGGGGAAGGGTGGGGAGGGACAGGAAGAAGAACTACCAAGTGCATCTACCAGGCACCTTTACTGGGAAAGACAGTCCCAACAGAGAAAGTCATCACCAAACCCACGTGTGCTCCAAAGTTATTAGGGTCACACGACCCCCTTTCATCCACAACAGGCCTCCTAAACTGCTCAAGTTGAAAACTGGCAGAATCAGGGCAACCAACAGTGTGGGAGAGAAAGAGGTGGGCCCCGGGGAACCCCCAGTCCACAGTACATCACAGTACATGTCAGACAGGATTGTGGTCCAGGTGCCAGGTGAGTAATCCAGCTACTCCCTGATTTTTACAACATATGCCATACGATAGTTTTAATCACCAGCCATGCCGAACTCACCGGACAGATCTGGAATTCCTGCTCTCCGTAAAGCCTATTGGCAATACTTAGGGTGTAATCAACTCGGATCCTGTCTATCTTGGAGAGAAGCTTCCCGAAGTAGCAACTGAGCAGTCCACTCTCATCATTGGAAGACTCAGCCTGACAAAAGAAGAAAGAAAATGACCTGATCAGGAGAGCAAAAGGCCACCAGAGCACGTTGTCATTTCATGTTGTTACCATGAGGGGGAGCAAGCTGAGAAGAAGAGAGGAATGGAGGGCAGGAAGGGGCCCCAGGGGAAGATCACTACTCCCATTAGGTATCAAGGTCCTCCAGGAACAGTACATCTGGGGACTCAGCAGTGCACACTATTTTTTAGTTCAGCGCACCTCGTTTTCCTCTATATTCAAAAATATAGAAGAAAAAGACAATCTTCTCTCTACCTTCCTCTTAAACTTTCTAAGGTACAGGGATACATATCCTGGAGAATATCTTTCCCACTCCTGGTATGAGGCAACCAATAAAAGTATATTTCCCCATGAAATAGATAAGGAGAGGTAGATAAAGAGAGTAAGACTCCCACGGCTGATTCCTGCCCCTTACTGCCCTTCATCCTCCACCATGCTCCATCCTGGGGACCTGTGACCCGGAAAAGTAGGTGAGTTCTGGGGCTTTCCTGTAACTGCCTTTATCATGAGTAGAAGATACCCGATCCTACTCTTTAGGAAACTAGCTTACAGCCACCGACATATAAGATACATAATCAGAAAAGAATTGGAGGTCGTACGGCATTCTTCCTACTGTTGTTGCTGCCAATAACGCCAGGACGTAACATCTGGGGATGAGTAACCATTGCCAAATACAGCGTAACCAGGATGAGCAGTTCACAAGAAGAGGGGCAGGAGTTCATGGTGGCTCACCTGCAGGGTCAGAGGCTCCGTTGTTTCTTTCTGTGCCTCCACATGGCTGTCAGCCTGCACTTCCTGTTTTTTGCTTTTCAGACAGGGATCAGGTTCTTTTCTTTCATTCTGGGAAAATTCATTGAAGTGTAGTACCTGCGTGAGGACAGTGATGGGGTTTCTCAGACGATACGAACCAGGAAATCTGAACAGCTTCAGAACCTTTTTATAGTGTGACAGGGACAATGACTCCAGAGTCAACCCTGAAACAACAGTGCAAAGCGTAGCGGATGATCCTTTTGACTTGGTTGTGAGGTGGAATGGAAGGGAAGTGAACTGCATGCAACCCCCGGGGGTCTGCACATAAGAATGAATGTAACCAAACTAAAAGGATGTCCAGGTCTCCACGAGACACACATGGCTGTGGAGCTGGTCAGACTGTTAGTGTAAAATACTCATTGGATTTGTGAAGACTTAGTACGAAAAAATAATTAAAATATCTCATTTAAATTGCTTGCTTGATTACATGTTGATATGATATTTTGGGTATATTGGGTTAAATAAAATATACTATTAAAATGAGTCTCACCGATTTTTTTTTTTTTACTTATGGCTGCTAAATTTTTTTAAATCACATGTGGGGTTTGAATTATATTTGTGTTAGCACTGATCTAGACCTTTCAGTCAATGAAGCAAGTGAGGGCAGCGAAAGACAAGTCACCCAGAGCATTGCAGGAAAGGTAGGAGACAAAGGCACATCTTGTGTTGCTCAGGACCGTTTTGCTGGGCACGTGAAACCCAAGTGCTTGGAGAAAGAACCTCTGACACCTGATGGGGAGGATGCTAGTGACAGTCTAAAGCTAAGTTCTCCTAATGGGATACTGTTAATAGAAGTAAATGAATAAAGCAGAATAACTCCAAACACATTCTACCTTAATCCAAGAATTCAACTCCTCCATATTAGGGACAACAGACAGGTGCCCGCATAACCTCTGTGCTGTGTGCGAGATCCAGGGAAGTTATAAGACCAACTTCGGGAGCCTACAGGTTATTTGGGAAGTTGTTCTTGTCACATTCATTCGTTCATTCTACAGATTTGTATTGGAAGCTGCTATTAGCCAAGCATGGTTCTAGGACAAAGATTCTTGCCATCTGGAGAATTATATTCTAGCCAGGTAGGCACATAGTAATGAGCTACTGTATGCATTATGTTGGAAGATGGAAAATGCCATGTCAGGGAAAAGTAGGTAGGGTAAGAAGTCATTTTATGGGGTGAGGAGTCAGGATGCAGCATTAGATGGAGAGGTGAAGGAAGGACTGGTTGAGAAGGTAAACTCTGATCAAAGTCCTGAAGGAGAAACTAAGTTATAGATCAGTTATCTGGGGGGAAAGCCATTAGGCAAAGGGGATGGAGCAAAGGCCCTAAGGCAGGAGTGGGCATGCTTACCCAAGGAACCTGGAGGCCAGCGTGTTTGGAGGAGTGGGGAGGGGACAGGGTGATTGGTTGATGGGAAGTCAGATACTAGATCTTCATGGGCCACCGTAAGGACTCAGGCTTCTATCATTAGCTAACTTGGAAGTCCAGGTTTTGAAATGATGAGAAGTAGGCTCTGCTTGAGGTTTTAAAGGATCTTTCTGGCAGCCGTATTGAGAACAGACTGTCAGCAGAAGCAAGGAAGCCCATGAGGAAGCTGCATCCAGGTTAGAAAGGATGGTGGTGGGTCAGACTCAGGGACACAGCAGGAAGCACATACGTTTGGGCTGTATATCAAGAGAAAAACCTGTTGGAGTTAGATGTGAAGTGAGAAAGAAGTCAAGGAGGACACTAAGATCTTTTCCACTGGATACATAATTTGTGCTTACTAAATACTTATTTATGGAATGAAAGAACACATAGACACATAAGAAATATTGTTAGTGATATCAGTATGGATAATTATAGAGCAGAAAGGAACAGACATACAGGCAAACAGACAGACAAGACACACAGAGACAGAGAAGGTGACTGAGAAAAGTTATGAGCCTGGGGAGGCTGAAGAAGTGTCATAAAGGAGGCAGAGGTTTCACTGAGCCTTGAAGAGAGAGCAAGGTGGGATGTAAATGAAAACTCCAGGGCAAATGCAGTCTCCCCCCAGGCCCCAGGCTCAGTGAGCATCATGGCTTGTGAAAGAAGGACTAGGGTCTGACTCTGAGGATGGACCCAGAGATACCGGAGCCACACCTGGTCGATCTGCTGTGCACTCTCGCTTCTGGCCCCCAGGCGGACCATGCCAAGGGCAGCTGAGAGGCTTAGAGGACAGAAGAAGATGTTTTTATGAGGATCATCTTTGCTTATCTCCTGGAAAAGATCAAAGCAAAATTTGGTGTTGGCTGCCACGAGAGAGTCCATCCTGAAATTGATGACAGTCTAAAACCAAACACAAAACAAAACAGAGAAAACATCATGGTCAGAGGAAGATAAATAAACAGTTCTCATTTTAAACACATGAGATATAAGCATATACAGTGATTCCACATGTTATTAAAAACTCAAAAACTAAGGTCATCATCATCTTGGTATATAGATATTAATGTCCATATTGATACTGATACAGACAAAGGTCTATTTTCATTTAGTGATATGATTTAGCTCCCTAGAGCTGCTATAACAAATTACCACAAACTGGGTGGCTTAAACAAAAAGAATTTATTCTCCCTCAGTTTTGGAGACCAGATGTCCAAAATCAAGGTATTGGCAGGATTGGTTCATTCTGGGGGCTGTCAAGGAGAATCTGTTTCTTGCCTCTCTCTCAACTTCTGGTGGTTTCCAGCAACTGTTGACATTCCTTGGTTTAGAGAGGCACCACAAGTCTCTGCCTCCATATGGTGTTCTTCCCTAGTCTTCTGTGTGAGTCCACATTTCCCCTTTCTTATAATAAGGACACCAATCATTGGATTAGGGTCCACACTAATCCAGTATGACCTCATCTTAACCTGATTAAATCTGCCAAGACCCCATTTCCCAATAAGAGCACATTCACAGGTACCAAGGATTAGGTTTTAGACATGTCTAATTGTTTACCACAATTCTATTGTGGTAAAACTTCCTTTATTTAGGTAAAACAAAGTCACAAGCAACCATGTCCTCATGGTCAAGTCTGCAACCAAGAAAACTATATCCCATCTCCTTCTTCACAGGCTATACATGGTTCTGCTCAAGTCCTTTGCCAGCACTCTCCCCTCAACACCCTAGGACTGACAATACCCAGGAAATTGTCATGGGCCATGTACTTTGTCACCTTCTCACCTCCTTTGACTCATTCCACATGCAACCTGTAAGCCTTGAGGTGTCTCGGTCAGTCATTGATATTATTGTTCAAGAGATCATTGATCTTGAAAGATGCTGGGAGTTTAGAAGTCATTAGGTTTAATACCTTCCCTTGACAGTGTAGAACCACAATGATATGGAACCAAAATAAGGGAGTGATTCCTTCATGACAGATTCCTTGCCCCTCACCAATAATCTGTTCCAGAAGTATCAAGAAAATCAAGAAAATCTTACACAGATCTCACTTTGGACCATCCCAAAAGAAATGCCTTCTCTTTTGTCTTTTTGTCAATGGATATTGCATATTTTCCAAGATGGAAATGTAAGCCCCTTTATGTCTATTTTTTATCATCAGACATGTGGTACATAGTAAAGCATTAAGAAATTATTATTGCACTGAATTGAACGTTGTACATTGCTTTTAGAATCTTTCCAGCTTAACACCAGCTTTTTTAGTCTATAAAACCTAACTCAAAAAAAAAAAATTAAATACCCATTTTTAAAAGTGCCAGACATATGTTTTACATATATTAGCTTTAACCCGACAACTTTACAGAGTAGATATTGTCATTCCCTTTCTACAAATGAGAAAAGAAACAAAGAATTGAACCACACATGTTGGCCTAAACTAAGTGCTCTTTCTGCTGTATCTATTGTTTCTCCTAAGTTGTCCTCAGTGTAGGACAGACTGGTCAAACACATGCCCACTATATATTGGTGTTCTCCCCTGTTCAGTTTAGAGTCCATTTTTACGCTTATATTCTTTTTCCTGCCAAACTTGTATGTGATGCATATTTCTCATTTTGTGCTGCTAAAACTGGGTTCAGATAGATGCTTTCCAAGAAACATATGTCCTGAGCTTGTCTGGAAATTCACTGTTTTAGACCTCAGGAATCTACATTCTTTAGGTGGAAAATCCCTTCCCATCCAGCATGTTCTACAACAGTAGCTAGCATTACCACTTCAGTAACAAACTTACTAAAGAAGTAGAGAAATCAGATAAATTCAAGATGGTCTGAGTCAAGGGGATTTCACAGACTTGTGTTAAATCATAAAATTTGGATAAAAAGTAGTCTCATCTTTTTTAAAGTCTTGGTCATATAATCAAGGTTGCTATTATGATACAAATCTTTGGCACCAAAGGAAAAGGCAGTGGATACTCTGGCTCTTTGTTCACTACTATAAAAGAAGGCTAGAGACAAAATACTCAAGGCAAAGATGGGATTTGGATTGAAAATTGAATGATCCCAACCTGGCTCTTTAAATGTCCCAGCTATTTGCTCAACTTTAGCCTGTTTCTTTTTACGGATGTGCCACTGGCATCAGAGGGAAGGGTGTTCCTTTCTGGTGTGACATGCACAGAACTGAGCAGCTGGAGTCTTACCTACTAAGGACATGATGGCTCATGCAGGCCAACTCCCTTCTTCCTGAGACTAAAAATCCTGAGGCCAGAAGTGGCAGTGACTTGCACACAGTCACATAGCTGGCCAGGAGAAGAGCAAGACTCAGACCTCTCCATGCCCAGGCCTGCTCTCTCCTGGAACAGATTGCTTTCTGCCCATTTCTAATTCATCTACTACCCTTATTCACTCTGGGAGCTGCAGTGTACCCCCACACTCTGTCTGCCCATTGGCGCCTAAAGAACATGGAAACTACACTAAATTTTGTGAACTTTTCACACATTCCCTAACCTGGGTCCAGCTACTATCTTGTCCTCACCCAGCAACAGTTTATTTTCTGTGCCTCATCAGGTTCTACCCTGTGGATTGGTTCTAAGTTTCCATTAGAGTCTATGTAGCTTAACTCTGCCCACCTTCCGAGGGAGGGGTGAGAATGGTCCTCATGGACGAACAGCCTAAAAGCTGTAGTTGGTGTTGGATGCCTGTATGTAAGCATTTATTACGGGAGAATCTTTCCTGGTGTTCTATAAAACTCTAAAATATAGAAAAATGAGCATTTAGTAACTAGATTAAAAGGCCATCCAATAATTACCTTCTGAGGGCTGTTGTCGTTTTGTTTGTTTTTGAATTAGAAACTGGCTAAATCTGACAGTAACCTAATTACCCGATAACCATTTCGAAACTTATCCCATGAGGACAGTCACTGCACATAGTAGCACGAGCTGACTGAGACCCAGTTTTGTCTCTGAGAAACCCACCATCTCATAGAGCAGTACCTCAACAGAAGCAGCTCCCATGATCTGAGAGCATCGTGCAATCCCGTACTCATTTACAAAAGGAAATAGAAAAAGCAGGGGTGCCTGCGTGGCTCAGTTGATTGACCCTCCCACTCTTGGTTTGGGCTCAGGTCATGATCTCAGGGTCATGGGATCGCACTCCATGTCAGGCTCTGTGTTCAGCAGGGAGCCTGCTTCAGATTCTCCACCCCCCCGCCCCCCCCCCAATTCATGTGCATGCTCAATCTCTCTCTCTCTCTCTCAAATAAATAAATAAAATCTTCTTAAAAAAGAAATAGAAAAAGCAGAAGAGTATAACATAAGAAAAAAATTTTAAGCAGCACTCATCAAGACTTATTCTAGTATTCCTCTAGTAAAATTCAAGCAAGCGATTTAAAAATATCATGTTTTCAACATTTTAAAGCTACTTAACGCTGTTCTTATTTATTAGAGAGACACTGGTGGTCAGTAAAAGCCATGTTATGTTGTTACAACAGAAAATAAAGGAGGAAAATCTCTAAGGTCTGTTTTCTTGTCCTCATCAAAAATCCCTTTACATAGGTACTAATTTGAAAATAGTATGACCAAGCCAGTCTCCAGATCCACTGGATTTACATATGGGACCAACTTAGCAATAAGTGGAAAGTAGAGATCTAATCATCATCATACTAAAATGTAACCATAACAAATATTTTTCAGAGGTGTGTAGCTTTCACACCTCTCTGAAAATACCTTTCAGATTTTAAAAAGTGGTGTGTATAAATAAGTTCACAGAAACACTTTCATAATAGCCCAAACTCAGAAACAAACCAAATGTCCATAATCAGAAAGATAAATAAACAGCTTATGGGTCAGGTATACAATGGAATACATAGCAGTATGTCTGAGTGAACTCTAGTGCCCCATAATAATGTGGATCTCATAAGCACAACTTGAGTGAAAGAAGATGGATGGGAAGAGTCCATAATAGTATAGTTACATAGACCTTCTCTATATATTTATTATGTATGTATATTTATACATAAATATACATAAATTTTATATGTATGGATGAAGTTTAATTTTAAAATGTACTCTAGATGTATTACTAAACATGGCAACAAATTTTAGAGCACTGAAAATTTATTTGTGTTTAACACAAGAACTAAGATTAGAGGAAAATTTGAAGAATAACATCTTAAAATGAAATTCAGTCTCCAGATGCAATTAGGAGTTCCCCAAGCATTAACAATAGCTACTTAACATCCACTACAGAAAATATGCACTTCACAAAGAAGTTACTGTTCGGCGAAGTCTGAGTCTAAAGGCGGATTGCTGAGGTAAGCTGCTTCTTAATAAGCTACAACTTGAAACACTTGTACATAATTTACTTCAGTCATCATTATTTCCAAACAGACTTGAAATAATCTTTAAAATAGCAAGGTCCCTAAAAACTCTATCCAGCTCAAAGAATTAGCACTACCCCACCTATAATGACTTTATAATAGCTACCATTTAATTTGCCTACCATGTGCCTGGCATTTCACAAATGTTGTCTCTAATTCTCAAACAATCCGTAAATCAGAAATTATCTTCATTTTTGTTGACCAGTTGTATCAACAAATCCGTCAGTTTGGTCACTCTCTTTCCTTCTACATCATGCTGCCATCTTGGGCAGATGGCATTTGTGCTCTGCAAGACCACGGCTCTAGTAACCCACCACACAGCTTCATGACAAGAAGATGTATGTATAATAAATAAGAAACTAATAAGGCAAATAATGATTAAAAAATAATAAAACATGTATTATTGGTTTCACTGGTGTATCTGACCAATGGCCACCTGATGGCACTAAGTGTCCATCAGGACTACTCTGGACCACCTCATTGCCCAGGGGCACCTCCAGTCCCAGGTTGTTCTTCCAAGACTCCTCTGATCTGC